GTGTGGAAGAGCCGCCGGGACAAGTTCTACCGCCTGGCCAAGGAGACCGGTGAGCGGGGCGGGCGGCGAGTTCGGGAGGCGGCTGTGCCCACCAGCCCCCACATCCTGCCTCTGCGGGGCCGGGACCCCCAGCAGGGCCGGGCTGTTCTCCCCATCGCCGCTCAGTCTGCCTGTCTCCTCGTGCCTGCCCTGCTGCAACTGCTGAGGAGCGGGGCCGTGACCCCCCAGCAGGGCCGGGCTGTTCTCCCCATCGCCGCTCAGTCTGCCTGTCTCCTCGTGCCTGCCCTGCTGCAACTGCTGAGGAGCGGGTGATGGGCACCCAGGGGTCTCAGCCCCTCTCGCCTCCTCCCCCCATTGCTCTGGCCGGGTGCCGGAGCCACTGCCAGCTTCCCCAGGGCAGGGGCTGGCGCCAGTTGAAGGTAGAGAGGTGGGTGAGCATGGACAGGGACAGCTGGGCCCACCCAGACACCGTAAAGCTGTGACCCTTCCTCTCTTTAGGGTTTCGCTCACGATCCTCCTTCAAGCTGATTCAGCTCAATCGCAAGTTCCAGTTCCTGCCGAAATCCCGCGCGCTGCTGGACTTGTGCGCAGCCCCCGGCGGCTGGTGAGGGGCCAGCCACGACTGCTCTGGGTGCCAGAGGCAGGACCCCCCTCCCTGGCTTGATGCAGCTCCAGCCTGCTCGCTTGCACCCGGCTAGCTGGGCCCTGGGGAGGGCCAGAGCCCCTGGCCAGTGAGGTCAGATTGCGTCCTGGGCTCCGTCCCCTGCCTCTGGGCCAAGTGAGCTGGTGGCCGCATCCCCATGGCTTTGGGACAGGGACAGGCGCTGTCCAACAGCTGCCTCCTCCCAGGGCTGGCGAACTTGATGCAGCTCCAGCCTGCTCGCTTGCACCCGGCTAGCTGGGCCCTGGGGAGGGCCAGAGCCCCTGGCCAGTGAGGTCAGATTGCGTCCTGGGCTCCGTCCCCTGCCTCTGGGCCAAGTGAGCTGGTGGCCGCATCCCCATGGCTTTGGGACAGGGACAGGCGCTGTCCAACAGCTGCCTCCTCCCAGGGCTGGCGAACAGGCAGCCCAGCTGTAGGCTGCAGCCCCAGGGAGCAGCCCCAGTCTAACTCCTCCATACAAGGCCTCAGCCAGGAAAGATGAGGGCAGAGCCTCCATCCCCACGGCTCAGCCCGTCTCGGACCAGCCTGGGGCAGGGTGATTCCAAGGGTGAGTGCCAGGAAGTGGCTATGGAGCCCAGCGTGGCCTGGCTTTCTCCCATCAGCCCCCTGGAGGCTGCGACAAGGGAGGGCGTTGTGGGGCAGGGAGGGGGTGAGGTGGGGAGCTAAGGCCTTTCTCCTCTCCGCAGGCTGCAGGTGGCCTCCAAGTTCATGCCCGTTTCCAGCCTCATCGTTGGTGAGTGATGGAAGCCTGCGGGGGGGGCAGGCCGGGACTCCGCGGGGCTGGGCCTGTGAGACAGGACAGTTGCTGTGGGGCTGGTTGGTTGGACACTGTCCCTCGGGGGGGGATGCCCCCATGGGGAGGGGGTCCAGCAGATGCTCAGTCTTTCTCTCCTAGGGGTGGATTTGGTCCCCATTAAGCCCATCCCCAACGTGGTGACGCTGCAGGAGGACATCACCACGGAGAAGTCCCCACGCCTGCTAAACCCCGACAGCCAGGTGCTCTGGTGCATCTCCCTCGGCCCTGCCTGGGGGAAGGGCGCATCATGTCCACCCACCCTCCAGGCCACCTCCCCCGACTCCACGGAGGGTACGAACCTTGGGGGCGTCTCACTGCTCGGTTCTGGGCTGTGGATTCTAGAGGCAGGGAGCCTGGGTCTCAGTGGAGAGGCCTGGCTGGGGGGAGGGGCTGCAGGCTCGCTACACACCCTCCCCCCCTCCCCCCGCTGCGGGGCAGGGGAGGGGGGCTGGCAGGCAGAGAGGGCGTCCCAGGCTCACCCCCTGCCCTTGCCCAGGCCCTGGGCAAGGAGCTGCAGACGTGGAAGGTGGACGTGGTGCTAAATGACGGGGCTCCCAACGTGGGGGCCAGCTGGGTGCACGACGCCTACTCCCAAGGTACGTCCCTTGCTCTGCTGGCAGCCCGGCCCCTGCGATGGCCGAGGACTCTTGCCCATCCCACGCCTCTGGTGCCGCGCAGGCAGAGTCCAGCTCCACAGTCCTGTGTTCCATTATCCCTGGCCTCCGGGGCAGCAGCACTGGGTCCGCGGGGTCAGCCCACTCCGAGGGATCGGGGCCCTGGCATGGCTCACCCGCTCGGGGCACAGTGGCAGGAGGAGGGACGGAAACCCCAGGGGAGGGAAAGGAGCACGACCTGCTGCACAGAGGGCGTCTCTGGGGGGTTGTCTCAGCAGACCCAGGGCTGAGTCCGGCCCAGCCCTGCCCCTCAGCCCCTTAGGTACCACAATGGCTGGATCTGTGGGAACCGGAGTCCCGCTAGATCCCCAACCTGCCCCGCCTGGAGCCCCTCGGAGCTACATCCCCAGCCTGCCCCGCCTGGAGCCCCTGGGAGCGACGGCTCAACGGCTTTGGCGCTGACCCACCTTCCTTCTCCGCTCCAGCCAACCTGACGCTCATGGCCCTGAAGCTGGCCTGCGAATTCCTTTCCAAGGGCGGCTGGTTCATCACCAAAGTTTTCCGCTCCCGCGACTACCAGCCCCTCCTGTGGATCTTCCAGCAGTTCTTCCGCAAGGTGCAGGCCACCAAGCCGCAGGCCTCCCGCCACGAGTCGGCGGAGATCTTCGTCGTCTGCCAGGGTGCGTAGGGAGGCTGCTGGGGAGGTGGGGGTCGCTGGGTGCTGGCTGTCTCCTCTGACCCTTTCCTTTCCCTTCTCTCAGGATATCTGTCTCCAGATAAAATCGACAGCAAATTCTTTGATCCAAAATTCGCCTTCAAGGAAGTTGAGGTTCAGGCCAAATCTGTGACCGAGCTGGTGACCAAAAAGAAACCAAAGGTACAAGTGACTGGGAGCAGGGTGCCACACACAAGGTTGAGGAGAGGGGGTCACAGCTCGGAGCGGGGCTGGGGGGGGCTGTGGCACACCTGTCGGGCTAGGAATACAGACTCCTGGCGCTCCAAGCAAGCCCACTTCCTAAACTGGTGAAACCTGTGTGTCAAATTGCCTGGGGTGGGGGAGATGCAGACAGGAAATGGATGAAAATTGGGAGCCCTCTTTCAAGGCTGCTAACATGGCCAGGAAGCCCTGGTCTCCAGCCCCGGGGAACTTGGCCTAAAATTCCATTCTGCCTCAGGGATGAATAGACATGAAAAGCAAACGCTCCTTTTGTTTGTTTGAGATCTGCCCTTGTCCAAGTGGAGGCAAAGGAGCAGACAGCCCTTCTCCCCCGCCCGGGGAACTTGGCCTAAAATTCCATTCTGCCTCAGGGATGAATAGACATGAAAAGCAAACGCTCCTTTTGTTTGTTTGAGATCTGCCCTTGTCCAAGTGGAGGCAAAGGAGCAGACAGCCCTTCTCACCCGCCGTCGGTACCCGGGGCGATTTCCCCAGTCGCTCTT